AAGGAGCCACCAAGAGCAGAAATGCTTAGGAATGGCCTGATCCTGCATCATAGGGTGCTGTGGCTTGAACTTGTGAAATCGTAGCTTAAACACTTGTTCTCCTCTTTCCCCAGCAGTTCTGCTCGGATGATCCCGTCCAATCGCTCCCAGATCCCCCCTTCTCCCTGGATCAGCCCCAAAACTTGAGGGCTTTCCCCAAAAGCAAAGGGGGACTGGCCGAAGAGTAAGAGCATCCCTCCCCTCCCCAGCGATGAGATTTAGGAAAGCTGAAAGGGGAATGTCATATTATCCAAGGTCTGCTCGTATTTAGTGTTTTTCCTCTAAAATAAAAAATAAAAAAGTAAAATAATTCTCCCTTCTTTTGCTTCCTTCACCTCGGGGAACCCCTGGCAAAACCTGCTTCATCTCAGCCTAGTAGAAGCAGCCAGACCCTCCTGGTCCCCACGCCTGGCTGCAACCGAGAAATCCCTGCGGCAGACGGCATTGCCCCTCTCCGGATGCGATTAAAATGGAAGACAACCATCAAGTGTGCTAGAACCATTTTAATATAATTATACATATCTGCCAAATCCAGGAAAAAAAAAAAAAAAGGTTTATGCATATATATCTTTTTTTTTTTCAGTTAACATCTGCAAGCATAAATGACAATGAATTTCTCGGTTTAAATTCATCCAGGTCAGAGCAACTGCCCAAAGTCCTGTTGGATTTGACGGTTACTGCCAGCATGGCCAGCAGTAAGTGAGCTCCAGAGGAGTTTAATGTCCTCGGGTGGGGTTTTTTCGGTCTTTTCTCTTTCATTCAGAGAGTATGTTGTAAAAAGTTTCAGTGCAGTTCACCTCAGGTGAAAGGCGATCATGTTTTTGCGATTTTCTTTTTCTTTTCTTTTTAATATATATTTTTTATTATTTTTTAAAAGATGGTAATAAGTAACTCAGTTGCTCTGAATTTCACTTATAATTATAACCTATTTAAATCACAGCAGAACTCCCACTGGTGCGGAGTTCATAGTTGCATACAATACAGGAGATCACAGTTTTGAAGTCTAGCACAGATTAAAAACCACAGATGTACCATTTATATAAGACACACACTGATTGTCTCTTAAAAACTACATATTGACTCCTTATGAACATTATCTTTTTTTTCTTATCTTTAAATAAAGTAGTGCAGCTAGGACAATCAGTCACACAACCCACACAGCCCTGAACCAAGTTCTCTGGGTGCCAACTTGAGCAAGCTGGGCATGAAACAGTTGGGCGAGCTTGAGAGCGAGAAAGAAAGAGGGAGGGAGAAAAAGAGGGAGAAAAAGAGAAATGTTGTCCATTCTGAATATTTTAACTGAGGGTTGGCTAACACATTGGAAACCTCTGGGTGAAGGATCTTTCCACGCACACACAAAAAAAGAAATAAAAACCTAGACTTTTTTTTTTACTTTTTTTTTTTTTTTTTTTTAAAACTGACCCATAGGTGGGACGATCTCCCATCTCTT